GATATATTTCTTAATTTCGGTCGATACGATATAATTCCGATATCGATATGAACACTATTATAAAAGCCTCATAAAAACTGCCAAGAATGCCCACAACAGATGTCTGTGCATACAAACATATGAAAAATGAATTTGCCAAGTCTATGACACCTCATATAAAACCATATATTTTAGAAGAAAAAAAAGCAGCACAAATAAATTAATGTTCACCTTTTATTTGTATTTAGCCTTCATACAAACAAGAAATGTGAAATCACTGTCAAATAATCGTCTCAGACTCACCTAATTAATATTACTATCTTCTAAATAACTTAAAACTATAAGCTAACATACACTACCAGTCAAAAGTTTTTGAACAGTAAGATGTTTTTAAAGAATTCTCTTCTGCTCGCCAAGCCTGCATTTATTTGATCCAAAATACAGCAAAAACAGTAACATTTTGAAATATTTTTTACTATTTAAAATATTTAAAAATGTAATTTATTCCTGATTTCAAAGCTATATTTTTAGCATCATTACTCCAGTCACGTGGTCTGTCAGAAATCATTCTAATATTCTGATTTGCTGCTCAAAAATAATTTATTATTATGTTGAAAACAGCTGAATAGAATGCTTTCAGGTTTCTTTGATGAATATAAAGTTCAGAAGAACAGCATATATCTGAAATATAATTTTTTTGTAACATTATACGTCTTTATCGTCACTTTTGATCAATTTAAAGCATCCTTGCTAAATAAAAGTATTAATTTCTATCATTCCCCCCCAAAAAATAAAAAAATACTGACTCCAAGCATTTTAATGGTATATGTATAATGTTACAAAAGCTTTTTATTTCAGATAAATGCTGATCTTTAGATTTTTCTATTGGATCTTTCTTACTGCTCAAAAAATTTCGACTGGTAGTGTATGTAGTGTCTTCTTCTCCTCCTGCCTTGCTCTTTGGCCCGCATCACTCACCGCAGAGCAAGCCTGTTCTTGATAAATCTGCTGTGAAAACGTGGGAAATGCCGACGAGGAAGAAGTTGAGGTGATGCGATCTTTATATCGGCGGAGCAGAATATGCTCCATCTATAACGCATTGTGATTGAAGATAATGAAAAAAGAAAAAAAAATATATATATACTCATTCTGATTGGATGTTTTACTCTGTCAATACAGGAGACAAACCAATGGGCCACTGGCTGCTCGCTGTCCCTGCGTGATGGTCTTCGGCAAAAAAAACAAAAACCATTCTGTCGGCCCCTTAAGTGTGTCGGCCCACCGGGAAAATGCCCGGTATGCCCGATTACCAATCCAGCCCTGACTATAACCATATTTTAGAGATATCAGAAGTAATTATAAATTTACATGTAAGAGGTATTTAAGTCTTAATTATGTACAAAAAAAGTTGAAATTAGCATGCATTACGTGTCCATTTCCATAATAAGTACTCTTTTTTTTAGAAGTATGCTAAAATATGCGTCTTTTACACAAGTTGTAGGGCGCAAGGCAGCTTGATAAGTTCGGAGTAGAGCTTTTGTCTTATATGTCATGATGTTTATGTTTTTTTTCCACACTGTGATACTTCAGTTCAAATGGGAACTTCTAAATTGACACTGATTGTATTTTCTCCTAGGTGTGGATTGGGTGTAAATGAAAAATATTTCTCATTCTTTGAAGTGGAGACAGTAATTTGCTAGGCGGCGGGACATTGAAAAAAATACCTTGCATCTTGGCTATCAATTTCTGTTAAATTTGACAACAAGAAAAGTTATGTTAGAACCAAACTGGCCACCTGGAGCCAAGAAAACTTGAAGCGGTAGTGGCAATTGAATAGATACAGTTCTCATTGTTTTGTAGCTGTCAGAATCAAACAAATATCAGCTTTATGAGCAATCACACACATATAGAGTGACCACAGAGGGTTGTGGATTTCTTATTAGACAGGGAGGTTGGCCGGTTTCCACACATTCAAGCGCACACAAACACAGATAATGCATCTGAATCTGCTCATGAACTCTCCCTTGGATATTTTGGCAGATAGTGACACTTCAGATCAGCTGAAGTCTGCCTAACCACAATCTCTCTGATATGGAGGTCTTGGATGAAGTTGGATGGTGCAGCTGACCCGGCTTGTTCTGTTGGAGGTTTTGTGCTGTGTTTCTGTGCTTCGACTGTAACAAAACAGAACATTTTAATATAGATTGTTCATACGAGGCTATTAGAGCCTAACTGTGTGTGCTTGAAAGGGCCAAAAGACAGGCATTAGCCATAGTTTTTCCATGAGGAAAGGAGCTTTGATTTTGATGATGGGTTCCATTTCAGATTATGGGATCTGGCGATGTCCCAAAGGACTCCAAATGGAAAGAATTAGTTGGATGAAATGCAGGCGTTCGATTGTCCAGTAAAACTCCAGCTGACTAGTTTTTCCAAGTAGTCACTCAGTCTCAGTTCCTTGCATAAATCATGAAAATGTGTTTTCGGTAAAATATCATTGAAAACAATGTTTTGTTCCCAGTCTCTGAACAGGAATCCGAGTTAGTCTGTACTTCAAAAGTGCTCAGGTTTCACTTTAACACACTTTAAAAGGAACGACCTAATCTGACCGACGTGAATGACTGTATTTTTTTAGGTTAGTGTAAATTATACCACAGTCACAGGCTGTCATTCAGCAGCTTATCAAAATGTTACTTTAAAAATGATCTTGTCAGTACTGTTCAGTGTTTGAAAAGATCTGCCTTTGTAGGGCAGTTTTGCAGTCTTGATCATTTAATTTTATCACAAAAATTACAAACTATTTTAATGTTTGATGTTATTCAAGTGAGTGGACAAACATCCCAGACAGATTTAAAAATATTTTAGATAGAAATGTTTGAGGTTTGACTGATATTCCAGTATGCTTTACTAAAGCAATTTGATTTACAATATAAACTAATATTTGAACTTTTTTTTCTTTTACCACAACTTGAAAACCTGAAATATGTAGAAATGACATTTTAAGGAATAAGTTATATTATTTATATGTAAATAATATTATTTGACAATAATCCTGTTTTTCTTCTTTTAAAAGCATTAAAAAAATTGCCAACCCCAAACCTTTGAACAGTTGTGTGTGTGTGTGTGTGTGTGTGTGTATACTTGGTATTACCTATGATATGGGGACCAAATTTCCCCATAAGTATAGTAATACAAGTAAATTTTGTCCTTGTGGAGACATTTTTTATCCCCATAAAGAAAACAGCTTATAAATCAAGTTTTCTGAAAATCTAAAACTGCAGAAAGTTTTGTGTGAGGTTAGGGTAAGGGGATAGACAATACAGTTTGTACAGTATAAAAACCATCCTATGCCTATGTCCTCATAAAACTTGAAGACCAATATGTGTTTGTGTGTGTGTGTGTCCTTAATCTTAATATCCGGTGCAATTTTGCTTCTCAAGTAAATTGATACTGTTTTTAAAGATTTTTCACTGGTAAACAGAGCAAAAATACTTACTTTGCAGAGTGTATAACGTAAGAAGCCTGTTACATCATGCAGAGGTGCATTATCCTATTAATCACTCACTTTTTCCCAGATGTAGGATGTCTGGTAGACCCATTCAGGTCATTAAGAAAGTAAAAGCATATTTGATCTCTGGTGACACTGTCATTTTCGTTTGCAATAGAGATGACACAGAGTGGATTTTGGGAGAGGACAAAAGTAAACGTTAGTCTGTTTTGTTTTTACATCAGCACTTTCAGTCCGTGTTGTCCACGTGTGACGGCAGCCCTTCATGCAGTGGTGTCGATTTATGCAGCGCGTGGGCATTTCCTTCCTAATGAACCCTCGGGGGAAGCAGGAGGGAGCGAGGGAGGTGGCGGGATCGCTCGCTGTGTAATATTTCCTGGGAGACCAAGCTAAACGACTAGCTCAGCGGCCTGCGCTCTGCCGAGCTTCAATTTTTTGATGACTGAGGGGGCTCCGGCGTGACTTTAACGGCCCTGTTTGAAGTTCACATTTGATATTCCACCACATCAGAGAAGAGGTCTAACCTTGCCATCGATTGGCACTCTCCTTTCGGCTGTCTAATTTGCTATGGAAGCAAAAGGAAAAGACCCTGCGTTCTGGCAGGGAATAACCAATAAGTCGTAGGGACTGCGATGTGTCCTACAATCGATTAGCCCCGTGTGTATAAAGCCTTGTAGACGCTCTCTCTGTTGCTCTCGTTCCGTTCACAGCACCCCTGGCAGTGGACATGGACCGTCACTCAAAGCCAACGAATCTCAACGAGACACGGCGAGAACGGAACATGAGCTGTCAAGTGTATCTGTCAGTGAGTTTGTTCACTCTGGCAGAGAGATTCGTATTGATCTTCGCTCGTGGTTTGGATTTCCCTCTTTGCCCTCATAGACTAGTTTCTCACCGTCGTCTTTAAACTGCATAAACAAGACGATCTCATGTTTGCTCCCTAAAAATGTTTGGAAACATTAGCGAGCGTTTGTTTATGCTTATGACAGGCAATGTCACAGAGTTTTAGAGATGGTCGGGCCCGAACACATGAGTTAGAAAGAGGATGGATCGATTCAGAGATCAGGTTGCCCGAGGGTTTCTTCCAAAGCTGATGAAAACATGATATAGCAGGCTTACAGAAATAGCCCTTATAGCTAATTCGCTTAATGGACTTGATGTGCAAGCTTTGTGCTGTACCTGCCTTTGAAAAACCTAATCTCTACTTCTCTTTCTCTCTTTTGGACTTGACAGGCGGGGATGATCCGTGCAGGTCAAGAGGAGATTTTTATCGAGCCACTGGAGAGAGGAGGCGACATGACAGGAGAGGAGGAAGGAGGACCCGGGCGTCATCACATCGTCTACCGCTCCTCTGACATCAAGAAGCCGGTTGTCAATCAACCCGCTGACTTTCACCCCAGAGGTCAGATCCCCTTTTTGACATCAGCTCGTCATGGAGTGCTGACGCGAGTCCTGAACATGTATACTGATGACTAGAGAGAGATGCTGAGGTTCAGTTTCTTGTCACTGAATCAACACACATTTCTAGACTGCTCAGTGCTGGTTTATGCAGGTTTGGTGCTGGTCTGGTCTGGTCTTTCTAAGCCAAGGGAGGCTTAATGGGTAAGTTAGCATCACTCAGCAGTAAGGGTTTTTCTGCTTGCCAGGTCGGGCGAGTAGTTCAGATTTGATTCAAATTTCAAATTAGATTTGCTTGCTTCTACATTTTCCCTGTGGGAAAATTTATTTATTCAAATAAAAGGCAAAAGCGCCAAAAAATATATATAAAAAAAAGAATTATTATTATTATAAACAAATTAATAAATATAAAATCAAAATCAAATTATGAGTACACTGTGTATATTGAATTGTACAGAATACTCTACAAATTATTGTTATTATTATTAATGCATGCCAGAATATTATTGATTTTAATGTTTTAAAATAATTACTGATTTCATTCAAATAAAGTAAAATACTACAATAAAATAAAATATAAAATAAAATAAAATACAAACCATATTTATTTTGTACAAACCAGCTGACAGAAAACTTCAGTGTCTATAAAATCTAAAAGCCATGTCTTGTAGTGTTAAAGAAATAGTTTATTCAAAAATTCGGGTGAATAATGACAGAATTTTTCGTTTTTTTGGTGAACTGTTCCTTACTAAATGGACCTGAAGCAGGATACGTAGATAAAGTGAGGAAAGTTCTCCAGGGCCGAGTCATTGCTCAGGCTGTTCATCCCCCTTCACCCCCCAGCTCTGTCTCTCTCAGCATCCCGTGTGAGACGTGTGAGGAGAGGAGCAGCAGAGTGACTGGATAAAGTCATAAACGATTCACATGTCACTTTGAGTTTGAACGGTCGAGTTCAGCCGGGGGATATGGAGAGGCTTGACATGCGTCACAGTCCATTCGCGTTTTCATTTTTCTTCACAGCCTGGTTGTTTTAGAGGGCTGCATGAATTGCTTAACTGCAGTACTGTCAAACCCTATTTGACAGAAATACAAAAATGATTGCTGATCCTTTTAAAAGGACTTTAGGATTATCACTGTAATCAATACCAGTGTTGGGCAATGCTACTTTTAAAAGTAAAAGCAATTTACTCTTACTTTACTTTTTAAGGTGATGTTGCAATCTTGCTTTATGCATCATAAAACGTAAAGGCCTGTTCACACCAAGAGTGAAAACTATAAATATATTAACATTTACACCGGAAGTGTGCTCTGCAGTTATACTCTCGCATTGCGTATTTTTAAAATCGGATGAATTTTTTGTTATCGACAGAAACAAAACTGTTCCCAATGATATTGTTTCTTTGTATCATTATTGTTATGGCTGTTGTGTGGTTATAAATACCATCATAGGTATCATACTTGGTGTTAAACAGGCATAATTCTTTATTTTTCTTTCTTTTTTTCTTTCTTTTTTTTTGGAACTAATATGTTAAGTTTCTTTTGCCTTACTTTTTCTCATTATTGGCTGAATATTTTTTAACCAAAGCTGCAGTTATTAAAATTTTCTGCAAATATTGTTGCAGTACTTCTATTGTATATACTGTATATTTGAATATATTTCAGAATATATTTTATTCCTGTGAGGGCCAAGCTGAATTTTCAGAAGCTATTACTAAACATTTCTTATTAATTGTCAGTGTTGAAAACATTTGTGCTGCTTAATATTTTTTGCAAATTTTTTTTTTTTACATTCTATATGAAGGGAAAGTTCAAAAGAACAACATTTATTTGAACTAAACATCTTTTGTATCATTATGCATAAATGTCTCTCAACTTGACTTTGGGCTTTTGAACAGGAGTGTACAGTACTTTGCTTGCAATAATGAAAATCTGTGTTTCCAAAATTTTATAAACACAAGATAAATGTACTTATACCATGATCTGTCTGAATACTCGATTCTGATTGGCTGGCAGGTATGAATTAAAAACGTTTAATGCACAGGTAGTTCCAAGTCAGTTTAATCGCTGTTTATATAAATGTGCTGCTTTAACTGATGCACACAAATACACTCACACACGCACACACACACACACACAGAGAGAGAGAGAGAGGTCGGAGATTGCAGATTGCGCTGCATACACACAGAAACTTGTTGTCAGCACTGCCCTGTGACTTTTATTAATAAAATAGCCAAGATACTAGATTGCTACATTATATTCATCAGCAACAAGCTGGTAATTATCTCTCCATCTATAATTAAATTCAAACAAATGTGATCTTACTGCACTATTTCATCTCTTTGTCTGATTTGAAGCGGGCAAAATGCTAGCGCTAACGAGCCGTAACTGACAAAAATAACAGTCATGTTTACCCTTCCGGTCAAATATTGAACTGCAAACATCATTAACAGCTTTAATTTGTTGATGCTGGCAAATGACCGTCGGGTGGTTCTTGGCCTCCACATCGTGCATTAAAATGGTTTAATGCACAGTTAGCTGTGCATTATCCCTTACTTATACAAGAATTAAAACAGTAAGGAAAACATTAATCATATACTGACTATGAAATTTTAGACCAAAATTGCCTCAAGGTCATTTTGCGCAACCAAGACAAAACAGGATGTGCGATTGTTGTCTTGACACACACTGTCTGGAACGACAATTCCCATTCAATTTAGACTATGTAGTGGTGTAAATATAGGAATTAAAGCATTATTTTTTAATTGTGGTTCAAATTAAGAGTAAACCAGAATATAAAAGTGAAATGTGTATGGTCAGTATAAAGACTGAGCTGCTTTTATAAGCATTTTCTCCTACATCTTCAGGCAATTGTTTCAACAGCAATTGGTGCTTTTCTTTTTTTCTTAGACATCAAATTAAAACCATAAATCAGTCATATCCCTTGTATGGTGTGTCTGTTTATCAGCAATATTCAGCTTTTACTTGAGTGGAAAGGTTACACATGTGGCAGTAGGCTTGATGTTGTATTGCATTGTGGAAGTGCAGGTATGCCTAAGCTGGTACTAAAAATAACAGGACAATATATCTGTAAGTGAATCTCAATGTTTTTGAGCGAGCAGGTCTTTGGCGACATCAGCTGGAGTGCGTGTGTGCATATGAGAAGCTGCAGCTCTCAGTGAATTCCAGCAGAGACATGCTGGACTCAGACAGCCAGTGACTACGTGGCAAAGCTTGATGAGAGTTTAAGTTCTACTTGGCAGACATGAAGCATACAACATTGAGAATTACGGCAAAAGTAGTGGGAGGAGAGAAGGGTGAGAGGTTTTTTCCTGGAAAATGGCCTGCAAAATTAGGTTTCATAATCAAACATGCTGGAAAAACTCCTCTGCTCTGTTTATATACTTTCTTTGTAGTATATTTGGTTTAGATAACTATGTAAGAGAGTTGTTTTTTGAATTACCATGCACATCTATTGGCAAAAGTTGACCTTGACGAAGACTTCTAGATCTGTATTGACTCTATAATGATGAATGTCAGGACATGCTAACATGCTACAAGGAATGCTATCAAGGGATTTCATTGTACTTTTTGGACGTGTGCTTGTATATCAAAGATTTATATGACTTTGGACATTATAGGACATTCTGTTCACTTACACAATCATGAAAGGACTTCTTGTTATGGTAACCTGAGAGAGAGGACTAGCCTTCACAATACTGAATCATCAATACTTTGCGCTTTCTCTTCAAACATGGCTTTTGGCATTTTGTTCACTGACCTATCAGAATAATGCAGGTGAAGCCAGGGTTCCCCTTCAGGAACTCGAGCTGCTTCGAAACGCTTTGGGAACGCCTTCAGCGTGACCACACTCTGAATCACGTGTGTAATCAGTCCAATGGATGGGCGGGGTGAGCGACCAGGAAACTTAAAAGCTTGTGCGGTGGATACAGCGGCAGCTTTCTGTCATTCAGCAAGCGCTCTGTGTTTGTGTCAGTACTCCGTGTTTGTCAGCCTTATTTACTATTGTTTGTCTACTATCAGTCACAAGCACAATGCCAAAGGCTAAGGACAAACACAAGGGCAAGAGCGGACAGCATTATAGGCTGTGTGTTCCTCCCTGCCCGCGCTACATTATGGGTGGGGATACACACAGTCTGTGTGTTGTCTGCTTGGGAGCAAAGCATGCAGAGTCAGCTCTCAAGGGAGCTGACTGTCCGCATTGCAAGTGTTTGTCACTGTGTACGCTTTGCTACCAGAAGGCTCTCTTTGAGGAGGGAGCCTTCAGCAGCATTCCTCGCGGTGCTGGCCCCCGCTTCTGCCAAGGCAGAGTGGCAGTTGCGCTCGTGGGGATTGCAAATGGATCTGGTGGAGGGAATGGAGATGGGCGAGTCCCTTTCTTCTTCCTCACCCAACTGATCCACTGCCCGCTCTCTGGGATCGGAAGCCTGCTCTGCGTTTTCTTCCACCTGGGGAGAGGGCTTGATGCTCCGCCTGTCTTCCTCCTCCGAGGTTGACATGGAGGGCATCGATGAGGACTCGGCCCCTCAGTACTCCCAGTATGAGGAGCTATTGGAGGTAGTTACTCTTGCCGTGGCCAAGTTGAACATCGATTGGCCCGCCGAGAAACAGGCTGAACTGCCAAAGAGCAAATTAGATGAACACTTTTTGCGTAGTAAGCCGCTACCTCCACGCTGGGGCCTTCCACTGAGGTGTCGAGATCGTGGGCTAGACTGTTTTCAGCCCGTATCTTCTGTTCCGCCTCCAGTCACTGTGCCAATGTGGTGGGGCTGAATGATTACGGCTACAGGGTGATGCCTCGGGTTGAACAGACGCTTGCGAGCTATCTGTCTCTTAGCACGGCATCGTCCCTGAAGGCTCCAGTACTGCCCTCCAAGCCTTTGTGGACCACCTCAGCGCTGATGGGCAAAGGGTACACGGCAGCAGGTCAGGCTGGTGCTTGCTTGCACACCGTGGCGGTGTTACAAGCATACCAAGCCGACCTGC